ATTTAGTTATATGTAGGCTATTATTCAGAATATTAAATGTAGTTTTTCTTTAACATTGAAAAGCATGTTTTTATGCCAACTCTGATTTTTAAAACTTTCATTATGCTGTATCAGTTTAGCATTTATGATAACAAAATCTTTAATTCTGATAATAGACAACATATTTAAAAAAAAAAGAATAGTATTAAGCTTATATATTACATACTAAAGTAATTATTGAACTGTTTTGACATTTACAATGAAATGTGTAGACCATACATTTCTATATTAAGTGAGTGATTATTTCCCCTAGTTCACCTGTATTAATTAATATTCCAGGAATCATGTGAATTTTTTTTTTACAGGGATTACAAAACAAATTGTGTTGTGTTCATTGTTTTGGTTGCATTTTTTGTTTTGTTGGCCCACATTGTGTTTTTTTTCTTATTTCTTCAGAGTAAAGCGAAGAAATGACATACAGCTTATAAATAAATAAATAAATAAATATATATATATATATATATATATATATATATATATAAAATGATGGAAAAAATTTCAACACCAACCCCCCCCCCCCCCCCCCCCCCCCCCCCCCCAATGAGACAATCCTGGCTACGCCACTGGCCCCGAAACATTTATTGTGTACAGGTGCAAACACAAATGTTTAGATAGGTAACAAATTAACTGTTATTTAGTGTTCTATTTTCCTGAAGAATAAAATTTTCTTTTCCTAATTTTCCAAGTATAACTTTTTTCAAAGCTGGCATTACACTTGATTGCATTAATGACTTGATGTAGATATTTGTAAAGAGCAGAGAGATTGACAGCATAACCGGTGTGACAGGTACTGAAGGCTAACTATAAAGTCATACTCTGCAAATATCTGCTCTTTATTGGTGTCCACCTGAGTTATACATCATTGAAAAACTTTTGTGAGCATTAGCTCTCCTGACTGATTGTTAATACTTTTTTTTGGTATTGCATACTTACAATTTTTTTAAAGAATCATTTCAAATACAGCTCACTATACTTTATTGTAGGTCATTAGAAATAGATCTGTCTACAAAGTTTGAAATAAATCACCATGGCAGAAATTGGTTTAACTTGTATTATGGCACCAAACTCTGCCAGTAGCTAGCTAGCTAATATAATGGATAGCTTGAACTGATGTAAACAATAAAAGAAAAAGTATAGGCTAGAACTTTAAAAGCATGCATTTTACAACACTAAGTATATGTTAATTCAGACAGATCGAATTGAATTTTACTTTTTTTTTTTGTAAAGTTGAAAATTATTCTACACACAGAATCAAATGGATGATGTTACACAAAGTCTTAGAGTTGCTATATATCAAATTACGCAGGTTTTAAGATTTAAAGATTTATATTTAAGATTGAAACCTAGGTAAGTCTGATATTGCCGTTTTAAATTAAAAATAAAAACAATCAAGAGTGTAAAAATGAGATCGGGTAAAACAGATTAAAAAAACTACAAATTTAAAAAATTAGAATCATGCTTCTACATGATACCATATCTCACCATCTAATTCCTCATACAATTCTTCAATGTTTGCCTGTGCACCTAGAAAAATAAACCAAGTTCTGAGTAAACACGTCAATAGTCACAAGCTAAATTGACCAGCAAATGTTGAGCTCTACATTGAACGTCAAAAAATTGTTGCAGTTTTATTTTAATTTTACAGATAGAAAATATTTATTTTAAAGTTATTTTTTAAAATAAAATTGCTGTCACAGAACTTAGAATACATTTTTTTTATCCTGTCAAACTCCTACAAATGTTTGCTCTGGATAGATAAAACTTCAATTTAGACTAGCTACTCCAAATTATTTGATAAATTATGCTTATTATTGACACATATACCTTGAGTGTTTATTATATGCCACTAAACTAAATTAACATCGTGAACAAAAAAAACCCCACTTATAAACCTATAGTTTGTGGTAAAATAGTTGTGGTATATTTTATTTACTTTAAAGCCTAGATAAGATTAACAAGGACATGTATTATATAGAAGAAATTTCTGCTTGAAATCTATACCAGATACCAAGACAGACATTGCAGTCATGTCAGACTAGGACATAAAAAGAGAAGCCATCTTTACACCAGTTAGTTACATTAGGAGCCACCATGAACACAAAAACATGTTTTTCAATTTAGTTGCTATATAAATTGCATTGATATAGAAGCTGCATAAACTATGTGATCAATGACCTGTGGCCGGGCCAACAGACTGTCCAGTTTAGGTGGATTGATCAGTCACATAAAGCCAAAACTATTCTGGGTTTTGGTTATTGAACCCCATTAGGTTTTGTATTATATTATTTTGTGCTACCATTTTTATTCATGATTATTCAAGTGCTTTGTTAAAATAAATATATATACAGCGCATAACAGATTTTGATATTTGCTGTTCATTATTTTATTAACCAGACATCATTTGGTGATTGAGTTGATATTAATAGTTTGAGCTAAGTCTTTGGAAAATTAGTTTTTTAACAATATTTTATGCTACTGCAAAAAATGCGAATGATGCTTACTTATCATGATCTATTTGGTTGTACTTGTACTTCCAAAATAAGCTAAGGAACAATGCTTTTTAAAATTAGACTAGCCATCCCGGCCAGGCCCTGCACTGGCCTCTGTGAAAAACCTATCTGTAAAGGATCATGACTTGTGTGTTTAGTAATCAGCATATACCCAGCATTGCCCATCCTAACCACAACCAATAAAAAAAAAAACAAAAAAAAAACGCAAACATAACACAAACAAAAACACAAATGCAAACCCAACCACAAACAAATCACAAACAAAAAAGCAAACAAAAACAAAACAAAATCCAAATTCAAACACAGAGGACTCACGGATTCAATTCAGTCAAAGACTGCAGTAACCTTTCTTATCTATAGTCTATTGCACTGTTCAAAACAAAATTTATGCACCATAGTGCTCACAAGATAGCCCAGGGCACCAAATAGAACCTTCCCGGGGTGCCGGCAGACGCACTTAATTCAATTTAGTGAACAACTATAATACCCCAAGCTTACCTGCAAACGGATAGATAGAAGTAAACATAGAGGACATTTAGTAGCTGGCTTCTAAACTGTTATTGATTACTTTTAATATTTAGTAAACAGTATGTTCAGTGAATAAAATTTATAAAAAGGCAGGATTTAAAATACCAATCTACACTAATTATGTAATTGATTTTTTCCCAAAACCAGAACAATAGTAATAAGTAATTTTTTCCCCCTGATGTAGTGTTTTTTTTTAAAAAGTAAGTAACTGTGTTTTCCTAATTTATAAAGAGACGTAATGAGTGTCAAAGGACTAAAAGTAAATAATTTTCAGACACAATTTGAATTTTTGTGTAGGGTGAAATATTTTCTTTAATTTTGTTTGATGCACATGTCTACAATTAACATAGTTTGAAAATTGAAATTTGTTTTAAAACACCTTCAATACTAATTTTTTATATCATTAATTTAGATGAAGAGCACTTTAGATATATAACACTATGACCATCAAGTCTATTTTTTTTTCTATTCCTTTGTAATCACGGATCCGCTGTCTGCATTCACATACAGAATTCAACTTTATGTATTGTATTATTTTAAATTAAGAAATGAATGCTGTAAATAATAAAAGTAAAAAAAAAATATTTTAAAGATTTTTAACTCATATGAAAATAAAACAACTCAGACAAATATGATACTTTGATATTGTAGAAAACGCAGCTTTCCAATTATAGATTTTTTGGAAAACAATTGTAGGTTTTTAATTCAGAACATGTATTTTTATATCAGTTTCTTAAAATCTATAAACGATGTTTTTTATTTTGCCGTAGATATAATTTTTGTTTGCTGTAAATGACTGTCCATAGTGTAAAACAGACCTTTGCTCTAGGCGCGCACTTTATAAAACATGACTGATCATTAAAGCGAGAACTTTGCGTGCAAGATTTTTTTTATCGAAGATTACTTTAACTTTAAGGCATTAGTCAACTCAGAATAGTCTCAAATTATTCAAAAGGCCCATTAAAAAGTTTAAAAATGATATACGATGTTATTAAATTAAAATAAACATAGTTATAAAAATGTGTGACTGATTGATTTTTGTTGGACTTTACCATAGATATGGATATATTTGATGTTTTTAGAATTTTTGGTTAGTAAACAAATAAAACATATGCAAAAACAATATGGTTGTTTACATTTTATCACAGAAAATGTAAAAAAAAAAGTACTTCAGCATTTTTTTTTCAAAGTCTAACGAGAATGTAAATAAAAACTGTTGCCTTTGCAGGTTAGATTTGTTTAAATTGAGTAATTCAGTAAAATATTTGTGTTTTAACAAGTTGTAAAGGTTAGCAAAGGCGCATGAAAAAAGCAAACTGTAGAGATAAAATGTGTCATTGTGCAATCAGTGTTTGGATTGGATCAGGAAACACAAATTATCACAGATTAACTCAAAATTTTTGCCTTTCTAAAATTAATTTTAAATACTTTTCTCTTCTGAATTTTTTACAGAAGGCAAATCTTTCAACTACCTTTTTAAAAACTGTCACTTTCCAATCTAAATAATAAAACAATGAAGGAAATCTTACAAGTAGGCAGTCCTGAGAAAGCTAGAAGATGTTACAAACAGCAACAATGCAATCAAACCAAATTTCAAGCTGGAGTTGAACAACAGTTAAGACACTTAAGTAAAGCTAGGTTTATTTAGTATTGTACAGCATGGGAGGGATACCATGTAGCTTTGAGGTGGACAATCTTAAAAAATAAAACGTGAAAAAAAAATCATTCATGTAGACATTTTGTCTAGTTGATTCATGACAAAATCAACTGTTCTCCAATGCTGTGGCATTCAGAATTTCATAGTATGCTAGAGTCAAACATGTTGTAAGCTTGCAGTTAAAACATCATTCATACAATAGCATTTCATGTCTACCTACAGCCCAAACCATTCTAGTCCATGTGCACTATAAGGTTGACACTTACCCCCAGAAGTGAGAGGATCTTGTGAACTGGCAGGTGTGCTGTTCATAGTTCCATAGCCAGATGAAGATGGCAAGGATGTTTTACTTTCTGAAACCATTGTTTCTGAATCATAAGCTGATGTTAATGCTGCAGTGGAAGCTTCTAATTCTCTGATAGCTTTAGCTAATTCCAGACTAGTATTTTGTTGGATCTGAAGAAAGAAGAGTGTGATCTTGTTATAGCATGTATTCCTGTTGTAACACTAGAGCTCCCAATGTTAGTCTACTGGCCATCTGACAATGGTCTAAGTGGGTAGTGTCATGCTGTGATGGAGACATGCAGAAACATCAGAACACATTATCAGACATAATACAGGTCTGCCACTATGTCGCAGAAATTTGGATTTCAGAAACACTATTTTTTAAAAACTTTACCTTGTTTATTATTATGTGTATTACTTTATGATATAATGACATTTCTGTTATTTTTTTGCTAAGTAGCCTACTTCTACCATTATTTTGCATTCTTGTATACAGAGTATAGAAAAAGTATTGTAATCGTGCACAAAAATTAAAATTGACAGCTCCCCACATTACTGTATGCAGAATACAAAGGATGCATTGTAATTGTGCAAAAATCTAAAGAGATTTTAATAATAAAAGTTGACATTTTATAGCTTGGTTTTTCAATCCTGTACACTGTGTGTGTGTGTGTGTTTATGAATGCAATAATTTAAGTACAGTTAAAGTTGACAAAATTTCATAAATAATTATTATAGTAAATTTGTAGTTTTCTATGAATTTTTGGGCAGTTTCAGGTGGTACTTACTACACTTTTAGTTTCTCAAGACCCTACAACTTGAGAAGTTAGGAAGATGAAATTTCACACATTAGTATTACATTTTATGCAGAGGTTTTTTAACTTTTTAGGATTTCCAGTAAACAGTAGTGGTGCTTCATTTCCATGTGAACACGAGATTTTTTATTAACGTATTTTATCAAATTTATAATTCTGTAAACTTCGGAGCGATTTTCTGTATCCAGAAGTGGTACTTACTCTACATACAGTTTCTCAAAAGCCAATAACTGTTTAAGTAAGGCGGACAAAATTTAATTTACATTTTGAATTATTTCTAGTAAACGGAAATGCTACATTATTTCTGTAGGAACATGATAACTGAGTGCTATGTCAATTAGGTAAATAAAATTATAAGATCTTATACTCGGATTACTTTTAATTTTTGAGAGACCTCCAATCCAGAAGTGGCACTGTATTTCTGGTTTCTAAAATCTGGATAACATGAGTATAGTTTAAAGAGGACAAAATACATAGCTAGAATATCATTTCACTGGTTTCTGGGAAGTGGCACTATATACTATTTCTGATTGTAAAAAAAACCCATAAGAATTTTTTATTTTGATTCCTTTGCCTATCATCCGTCATGGGCGGAAACTTGCGAGCAAAAGTGTTACCACTTCTATCGTACCCATTTCAAGTAACTTGAATAATTCAAATAGATCCATAGTGTATTTGATAATAATACATCTTAAAATGTTATCCATTCTATTCTATTTAAAACATTTAATATGCGAAAAAATTTAGAGGTGATCATTCACACTTTAGTTAAGCTGTTAAAATTCAGTGTTTTTTAAATTTCATATTCTGTTCCCAGAGTTGGTAATATTAGAGCTAATGAATGTCAGGTCAGGAGTGTCTGAAAAAGCTAGTAGCCACCATGTATAATATATCTATATCACTACATTTGGTGCATTTATATGAATTTCTATTTTATATCTTAAAAAGGAGATAAGAGAACTAACAGGTTAATAGGGTTTCAGATGGAATTAAAGTCATACAATTAGCCATGGCATGCAGTTTTGAATTAGTAAGTGACAAGAGAAAATTAATTTTAAGCTTAATTAAGCATTTGATTTTTTTAAAGTAACTGGTAAAGTAAGGGTTTACTGTAAGTGGAATTGTTCTAAAACTTTTGAGCCAACTAAGGAAAGTGGTAGCAATATCACAACAGAGCACTTTTTCAATGTGTTCATATGATACAGCTCTTTTCAGCCCTTGCACTCACGATCCTGTGTACTAAACCTTCCAATGAAATGCTAACACCAGGAAGTGGCTAAATAACCTTATGCTAACCACTTGAACCTTCAGTTTTATTGATTAAATAAAAACATAATCATTTTCATCAGGCTTAATAATAATAATATTAATACTACTGCTAATAAGTTAGAGGTTAATCCTTCTAACACTGTTAGTATGGTCACTTTGAGGAAAAGAATGACTGACACCAGTGACACAGTGGTTAAAGCTAACTGCTATTACAGTGCAGAATATCCCATTAGTTTAGTTATTACTTTTTGAATGGGTGGGAAAACTGTTGTGTATACAAAACATCCCAAGTTACAATTTGTTGTGTGTTCAGCTCTCTCTCATTTTAAACACACACCTACAGAGCTGAGAAGGTTATCGCCATTCACATAGAACAAATGATAGCATGTAGGATGATCTGAATGGAACCATTGTTAAACCCTGTGCGTCTAATGTAAGTCTAATGACTAAAGCATTTAGATAAGTGTAACAACTAAGGCATCTATGTCTAATGTAAGTCTAATGACTAAAGCATTTAGATAAGTGTAACAACTAAGGCATCTGTGTCTAATGACTAAAGCATCTATGTCTAATGTAAATGTGATGACATAGGTATTTAAGTGTAATGACTAAAGCCTCTATGTCTAATGTAAGTGTGATGACATAAGTATTTAAGTGTAATGACTAAAGCATCTATGTCTAATGTAAGTGTAATGGCTAAAGCATCAATATATAATGTAAGTGTGATGACTGATGGCATTCTTGCCTTGGGCCGGAGAACCTCAATCAAATCTTGATGACTCTGGTCATGTGAGGATTTCAGAGTGATTTCGTGACCAGTCAGTTCAACTTTGAGCCCAGCAGAGCATAACTCCATTTGCTCCATAGCTTCATCCAATGAAAACATACCATTTTTACTGGCCCCCTAGGTAAAAATAAAGAGATTATGTTCAGCAAATAGAGCAGCCCATTGTGTAAGCTAGTAAGAGTAATTAGACCGTTTCAGTATTGGCAAAAAACATATTTTAAGAGGAACCACTATTATAAGAGGAACCACTATTATAAGATGAACTTTTTTTTCTACACAAAAAGTGCGAACTTATTTGAAAATCATATATCCATTCTAGTGACTTGTAATTCACTTCACCTATGATTTCAGCATTTCAGGGTGCCAGATATAAGCTTGAAGGAAACTTTAACACAGTTTACATCAATGGACAAAAGGAAAATGCCAAAAACATAAAGACTGTTATAACGAATTCAAAATCTGTTCAAATCTATTAAAACAATGAAAAGTAATTTCCAAATAGGAGATAAAATATGTTTACATTATTTACAAATGTCAAATGAAATACATTAATTTAACCAACCACTCTCAACCCAATATGAAATGCTACACCCACAACATATTATATAGTTAGCAAAAGGTAAAAAAAATTCTGGAACTGGGATTGAAAAATTACTTAAGAAACCGCACAATCTATATCATTTGAATTATTGAGTTTTGGGGCTGGTACTTAAGAAACTGCACAAACTATATCATTTGAATTATCAGAGCTTTGGGGCTGGTACTTAAGAAACTGCTCAAGCTATTATTGAGCCAAGTAGAACTGCACTGAAAAAATAGTACTCATCCACACTATCTTAAATTACTTTTGTCCATTCAAGATTTTGTTACAGCTCTGGAATCAGAGTATTTTCTTGCTTATTTGCACCATCAATAGATATTACTGGAGATTGTATTTTTCACAAAAATAAAATGCATATAGAACACACTTTAGATTTATTTAAATAAGGTGATTGATTGCAGGATTTTCTTTTGTGTGCTGACACATAACTCTCTACAGAGGACACAAGTAGCATGCATCGCTATTTTAAAGATAAGTAAGCATGTTTAGACAATGTGTTTATGAAGAAATGTCATTCTCTTTTAAAATTGAAATGCATTAAACTTCTGTGTATTTCTATTTAAATCAACGTGACAATTTGCTACAGTGATTGATAAGTTATATAATTAAATTTGATATAAAATCTGAGATAATCAATTATAGTTTATGATGTGATAATTAAAAATAAATATATCTGATATTTACATAATAGATTATTTTTACTTTACAATTTATCTTTATCAAAGTTTAACACATACATCTTTATTGTTTATAGATTAATCCATTGATCTTCATATTTAAAACTTCTAGTAACTAACTATTGGACAATTGACCTTATTGAGCAGATGGTCTTTTTGGCAATTATTATAAAAGCTTTTGTTTCTGAGACAACTAGTCTTCTTGCAAGATGTTCTGAGACAAATAACCTTCGCCAGCCGCTCCCCCTATGACCATTTAAGGAAAGTGGCGCCTTTTTTGGAGAATATTTAAATAAAATTTAAAACAAGTTCAGCAACACACAAAAATAAACAACAACAGCTAACACACTGCAACTACGAATTTAAAACTATCATGTTATGTTCCCTAAATATCATATTTTAACAACTCATTGCAAGTATATCTACAGCCTACTTCTTGGCTTACTTATTGGCGCCTAGCTCAATGCCAGGTATGTGCAAGGCATTTTTTTTGTCACAATATCTTTAGCGCCTCTACATCTATACAGATGCACATATTTTTAGATGTATTGTGTCAAAAACTGTACGCAACTATATATATATATATATATATATATATATATATATATATATATATATATATATATATATATATATATATATATATATATATATATGGTGGGGGGGGGGGGGAGAGAAGAAAGGAAGCAGAAAAAATGTACTGAAAAATTAACACATTCTCACATGAGTTCAAGACTGTTAGTGCTAGTCAATGAACATATACTTAAGCACATCGGTAAATTTACTTAAAACTATAAAAAACTGCCTCCAAAAGATGAATAAGCAAACTTCAAATTAAGAGTAACTAGTTGTTTATTTTACAATCAGCATCATAGCTTTTGAAACAGGTAAATATTGTTTTTGCAAATACCCGTAAAGAGGTGTGTGAGCCAATACAGTGAGTTAACCTATGCCTTGTCATTATATTAAAAAAAATAACCTTTTAAGAACACAAATTAGCAGTAGCTAATTAAAAAATGTATAGATCTGAAGTGCGAGACCGATAGCATAAAATTTACATTAGGCTATAATTCTGAATGTTCCACCTATTAGGTTTTGTTTTCCATATTGTAAAAAAGCACACTTTCATACCAACTACACTTTTAAAACTGTCTTTACGCTGTAATGTTTTAGCATTTATGATGAAATATATTTTATTCTGATGGTAGACAATTTTCTTTTTAAAAATGAATAGTATTAAATACTAAAGTAATTATCGATCTGGTTTAATTTGACAATTACAATAAATGTGTAAACCTATACATATCTATATGTTTGCTTATCTTAATTAATATTCCTTTATGTCCAATTGCTTTTTTTTTTTACAAGGACTATAAAACATATTATGTTGTGTTTCTTGTTTTTGGTTGTATTGTGTATATGTTGTGTTGTTTTGTGAGATAACTGTTTTGTGTTGTTGGCCTACATGGTGTTTTGTTCTTGTTTTACAGAGTAATGTTTGAATGTATTTTTCACCTTAGTGAAGCTATGTCATACAGTATAAATACAAGTATATATGTATATATATATATATATATATATATATATATATATATATATATGACACCTTTTACTTTCGGCGTTTCCCTTAACCAAAAACCTGTATGCGCCTTGTATTATGAAAAAAAAATTGTTGTTACAATTCACAAGTTACAGGTCGGCATGCTAAGTGGCTTGTATAGGTTACAAATTAGGCAGACAGCTGTTATGTTTAATTACTTAAAAATAAGTGTTTTTGGGTTCTTTTTACTTTCTCGTATATACGAAGTATAGAGAAAGTCTTGTAATCGTGCAAAAAAAAAAATATCGAGATTTTTAGAAATCTCGACGTTTTACACTTCACTGATATGGAAAAACATAATTTTGCAATCTTGTCCGTATGTCTGTGTGTGTGTGTAAACACGATAACTTGAGTACCGTTACAGCTAGGTTGATGAAATTTCATATATAAATATTATATCAAAATCGTAGATCCGTATCAACTTTTGGGCGATTTCTGATAACCGGAAGTGGTACTTTTTCTACTTTGAATTTTTCAAAAGCCTATAACTTGAGTATTATTTCAGATAGATACATGAAATTTCACATGTAAGTAAAAGATCTAATTGTCTAACGTCTGTCAAATTTTGAGTAATTTCCGTTGACCGGAAGTACTAATTTACGCTATTTCCGATTTCTCAAAAAACACATGTAAATTTATAAAGTACTAATAATATTGCACACTGTAGTGTTATGCACATTTCATTTGCCGTTCACTTGGTGTGCAATTCTTTTTTCTACGAGATTTTATTCTATTTTAAAAACTTTAAGTAGGCCTATTTAAAATGGAGTTCCCATCGCATAGTTGTTTTATATAAGAATATTTGAGAAAGTTTAGGGGAGATCACTCCCGGTTTATTTGTAGTTTATAACCCACAAAAAAACCTACTTTTAGTGCAGCACATTTAAAATTTATACATGAATAAACAGAAGTCATTATCTGTCAAACTATGTAATTTTTGTTTATTGAACATATGTATTGAATCTGTATTTTATTTATTAGAAAAATTTCAGTTGTGATACATTAACACATTTTTCTTAACTTAGCTTCGCGTTTGTGGATTTGTTTGTTGTTAAAATTGACATCGAAAATTAGCCCACTTCTGATTGCTCTAGAGATATGAAATTTGGCATGCAGGCTACTTTCGCCTAACAATTTCAGATGCAATCATAAAAACTAGCAATTAGAGACCGTAATTAGCTTAATTTAATTACGCCCCAAGGACCATAAAATTGAGGACATGATTTCTAAAGATACCGACAAGACTGGAGGCCTATTGACACAGTTACTTCGGCCCCAATCGATGTGAGCGCGCTGGCCGTGATCGTATAGTGGTTAGTACTTCGCGTTGTGGCCGCGACAACCCAGGTTCGAATCCTGGTCGCTCAAGATTTTTAGTCCATGTATTTATAAACACTTAGTCAAGTCATACTTAATCAAGTCATTAGATAAAGTAGAAAATAAACAGTATAAAAAACTTTTTTAAAAACCACGTTTTTCTTGTGGACTAAAAAGTAGAAAATAAATTTTTCTTTTGTGCTTCCTCGAGCTGTGCAGATTCTTGTGATGACTGACAAAAAACGTGGGTCGGGCAGATGGGTCGGGAAATTTGATGGTGAACGTACCCACGTTTTTTGTCAGTCATCACAAGAATCTGCACAGCTCGAGGAAGCACAAAAGAAAAATTTATTTTCTACTTTTTAGTCCACAAGAAAAACGTGGTTTTTTAAAAAGTTTTTTTTAAGTATTTTATTTTTCACTGTCTTTGCTCAGAGAATATTTCACCTAGTAAACACAAAGTTCAAAAATGAATAATGGTATGTCAAAATGATTGGAGCAAAATTGGATATGTAGAAAATGTATCCAGTGAATATGTTAGAAGTGTAAATGAGCATAGTGAATCTTTGAGTAATCTGCACCTTGAGTGGATACAGCACAATCTAAATCAGATTCAGGTTTCAAATATTTATTTTCACTGAAAACAGTTCTATTCTGGTAGAATGTCTTAACTAATTACCCAACTCCGTTTACCAATTTAACCTAAAGGACTAAAGCACCAAAATAGTGATACACAAAACACTCAAGCAGGTAGGAGAAAATTAAGACAACAAGAAGTAGGCAACTACTACTACCATTTTTCTGTACTTGCTTCTTTTAACCCCTTCAATCATGCTTTTCATTGGTTTATTAACTACATTATTTTTAAATGAAGTTATTTTAGGACCCTATTAGGCCAGAGAAAGAAGCCATTTAATTCATGGAGATACCTTAAAATTAATGGCTAAGTTTTATTTCAGTTTTAAAAAAATCATTATTAAAGATTTAACTTTAATGTAAGATGAACACAAGCCAAATCTTGAATGTTTAAGTTGAGTAAATCAGGCAAACCAATCATGCAATCACAATGCATTGTAGTATTATTTTAACTTCCAAAATTTTAAATTCTTTTTAATAGTTACATTTTATTTGACTATTTATTTGACCGTGTAAAAGTAAAAAATATTCATTGAGAATATAGAATTAGAATAATAAAGTCTAAATTAAGTTTGTTACTTCCCCAGGTTGTTAGTCTTTCACAAAATAAGCAAAAAAAAGAAGAGTTTGATATCAGTTGATTGGTTTTGGAGTCTGCTTGGTTGTACTTGATTAATGTTGAAAAAGAATATTGTGGGCAAGGTTTGGCTGAATGATGATGAATGCATGTTCAATAAGAATATTGGGGGCAAGGTTTGGCTGAATGATGGTTTAAAGTGTGCAATAAAGAAAAATTTGGGTGGTAAGGTTTGGCTGAATGATGGTTGAAAGTGTACGTAACCAACCTGGTTTTTGTTTGAAACAGCTGGAGTAGTTGGAGTTGTAGGTTCTCCATCATCAGGTGATATATCTGACATGTTAGCATATATAGGCTGGGCACCTAAGCATGAAAAAAAGATACATATGACATTGCCTATTCTAAATAATGATTGGGTTATTTTGTTCATCACCTCTGTGTAACTTGATATATAGTGTCTGATAAAAATGTGTCTTAAATTATTTTAGTAAAGTATTTTAGTTTCTTAATTTGTTAATTACAGTATTTAAAATGAATTATTTGCTTACTAATTTATACTTTTGAAATGTATGTATAATATGTGATATCACAACATAAAACAATAATTTAAGGTTTTAAAGGGAACTAATAACAGTTTCTTATATTATTAGGCCACTGTCAAAATTGATGAATTAGGCATTTAGAAGACTACCCACATTTTTTAATGAAGTTGATATTTAAATTATCCTCATAGAAACCTGTAGAAATTTTAATCTTCCAACTCCAATTCATGATGCACCATTTATACAGCAAGAAATATTTTATCCAGCTTTTAAGCAAGAAAAGGGGATAAAGCAGCTAAATATTTGCTTAAGAAATAACAAAAGAAAGCCTTGGAGGTTGCGGAAAGACATGTGCTGGGGAAATCCACTTCCAGGAATGACAGCGAATTGACTACAAGAGGGAAAACTTATTCAAATTTTTTATTGTACTATAGTCTCAATCAATCAATATTATCATTTGTTACAACAAGTTGAACTTTTATGGCATTTAGAATTACATAGCAGCTTGTTATTTTTACACTTGCAGCGATTTGTTGTGCACTTAGTTGTGCAATTGCAGCGAGTGTAGCCTTGGCCCCCAGTCAATGATTGTGAAGATGCGATGGTTCTTAGTTTTTTTTCCTCAGTGCCAACTGACGACAATAACAGCAGTTTTTCGTGAAGAATTGAAAACTCACTTCTAACATACAGTTGTTTTAGAACACCATGTTCCGTTCCTAATTTGTAGAAACCGCCCTCTACGCTCATGACAACTGCAATCACGCTTCGGGGATCACCGCGACCTCTGTCAACATCTGGAACACGGATGTGTACATTGTTACCCACTTCACCATCTTTAAATTTTGTATTTGATGTTTTAAGCATCTTAGCACCTTGAGTTTGCAAGCCAGTATGAGCTGCTGACCTGTGTTCCATGATATCTTGATTGTTGTGACACAATCTGCAGGTAATGTTCCCTCCGTACCCTTCGTCTGCTTCATTGGGTATTCCACAAGAATGAGCTGCACTACAATGTTTTTCACAAACTATACAGAATCTGTTGGCCACATTATTGTCACACAACTGGTCTGGACGTTCCGCCACGGCAGCAGATGTGTTAGCTGAGGATGTCGTTGCATTTATGGCAACCTCCATTTCTTGTTCAATGTTCTCAAGATCTTCCTCAGTAACTATTTTATCGAGAGCCTCTCTTGGTAGATTTGAAGTGCTAAGTCCGACTTTTGCTTTGCATCCAAACAAGACTACGTATGGCGATTGTTGGATTCCTTGATGAAAAGAACAATTTTTCATAAATTGAATGAATTTGAGACTCTCAGCCCAATGAGCTGATTCATTTGTTTACATCCCATCATCATGTTTTGAACACCTTGGTTGGCACGTTCGACTGAACCTTAGCTTTGGCTATGCCTTGGTTTTCCGTGAACTAGTTTAAGTTCAGGCCACATGTTCTTTAGTTCAGAAATAACGCGATCACAACTTAGTCTAGATAGAACATTGGCCAGGACATCCCGGCCAGTGCGCACATTGGCCGGCCAATAAACAAAATACGCTGTCAAGTTTAAGCACTTCGGACTTTGGCCAGTACATCCTGGCCAGTGCCTGCATTGGCCGGCCAATGTATGAAATACGATCTTAGTGCTAAGTTCTTTGGGCTTTGGCCAAGAGAGCCGGCCAATGCGCACATTGGCCGGCCAATCCACGCTTTGGCCGCACTTCGGGCTTTGACAGTAACATATATATATATATATATATATATATATATATATATATATATATATATATATATATATATATATATATATATATATATATATATATATATATATATATATATATATATATATATATATATACATATATATATATATATATACATATATATATATACATATATATATATATACATATATATATATATATATACATATATATATATACATATATATATATACATATATATATATATATATATACATATATATATATACATATACATACATATATATATATATATATATATACACACATATACATACATATATATATATACATATACATACATACATATACATACATACATATATATACATACATATATATAACTATATATACATACATAAATATATATACATATATACACACATACATATATATATATACATATATACACACATACATATATATACATACATATATATACATACATACATACATACATACATACATACATACATACATACATACATACATACATACATACATACATACATACATACATACATACATATATATATATATATATACATAAATATATATATATACATATATAGTATATATATATATAGAAAAATTGTAATCATGTAAAATAATGAGTTCATTTGTTCAAAATTTGTGTGTGATACAAGTGCAGAGCTTAAATCAAGCTCAGCCTTCCTGGTACTGGCTCTCCAATAAAGCTGTGCCTTTATTGGGGTAAACTGTAATACATCATAGAACTCAAGGTGCAATTGTAAAAAGCATGCATGAAGTTTGAACATTGTGAAAAGTTTGAAGTATTGAAACTTAGAAGCTTAGTTCCAAATTGTAGATCATGAGTTTAATCAATTTTTACTTAGAGTAGGTAACAACACTTTAAATAAGAATTGCACATATGATATGCAAAGTTTGTTTATTTAAGAAATTTTTCGAGATCGATTAACCTTAGTAGATATTGAATATTATTCCAAGCCTATGCTCTAAAAACTTATAAATTGATGGAGTCAATCTGAAAGTGTTGGGTATACCTGAAGATGAAGAAGCAATCTATCTCAAATTCAGTGTCAGTATAATGTGAAAAAATCAGCATAAATTATTTTTTTACATGTTTGGAACATAATTCAGGGTTAGGGTTATATTTATTTATATATACATTTATACTGTTTGTTATCTTTCACTTTAAAAAAAAGCTATACACCCGCTTTTTTAAAAAGCTAGAAGTTTCTCAGAATGTGTTGGCAAAATATTGGATGAAAGTGATTCTTTTACCTGGTGGCAGCATTGGGGGCGCTACTGCTACACCCTTAGGCTTTGGACAATGTGGAGGAAGTACAGGCTGGAGTTTACTGATAGTTGCAGATGGACGACTGTGATTTTGGCTACTGGACCGTCTCATCTCTACACCTTCTTGGGGAGGTTCAAATATAGCAGCACTCAATGCTAGAAAATATCACAATATTGATATAAGTAATCTCAAGTGACAATGGAAGTGACAATGGAAAAAACTTTATGAGCATAATATTGTGGCCATCATAAGCTAAATTAGGATGATGTTTACCTGGTCTGGCATGTCCTTTTTCATAAGCTGTACTAATAGTATGTGGTCGCATTGGTTCGCTCTTAGGTCCAGATGGCAAATTAGGCCAATTATTCCACGTGGAACAAGCACTAGGAGTGTTATCTGAAGGTGTTGTTGGCGTAGAATCACAGTCTCCCTCAGCGTCTTCATGAGGTGAAGGCTGACATAATTTAGGGGAAGAAAAAGTAAAACCTTAACTTTAGTTGGTGAAGGCTGGCATAATATAGGGGAAGAAAGGGTAAACCTTAACTTTTGTTGGTGAAGGCTGACAGATAAGTTACGGGAAGAAAGAATAAAACCTTAACTTTTGTTGGTGAAGGCTGGCAAAATATAGGGGAAGAAAGGGTAAACCTTAACTTTTGTTGGTGAAGGCTGACATAATTTAGGGGAAGAAAGGGTAAACCTTAACTTTTGTTGGTGAAGGCTGACAAATAAGTTACGGGAAGAAAGAGTGTATCAGTTCCTTGTTAAAGAATAAAGGCTATAAGAAAAACAGAAAGGTAATTTTATCATTTTTGAGACTGTCATACAGATTGCTTTTTAGGATATCATATTGAGAGAAATATTTGTAAACAATTTACACTGAATGAGTTTTTTTTTAACTTAAACTTACATTTAACTGTTCAATAGTTAATTTTTTTTTTAAATTTACATTAAACTGATCATTTTATCTCACTGTCACAACCAGCCCCTCCTATCTCACTGTCACAGCCAGCCCCTCCCATCTCACTGTCACAGCCAGCCCCTCCCATCTCACTGTCACAGCCAGCCCCTCCCATCTCACTGTCACAGCCAGCCCCTCCCATCTCACTGTCACAGCCAGCCCCTCCCATCTCACTGTCACAACCAGCCCCTCCTATCTCACTGTCACAGCCAGCCCCTCCCATCTCACTGTCACAGCCAGCCCCTCCCATCTCACTGTCACAGCCAGCCCCTCCCATCTCACTGTCACAGCCAGCCCCTCCCATCTCACTGTCACAACCAGCCCCTCCTATCTCACTGTCACAGCCAGCCTCTTTAATCTCACTGTCACAGCCAGCCTCTTTAATCTCACTGTCACAGCCAGCCCCTCCTATCTCACTGTCACAGCCAGCCCCTCTCATCTCACTGTCACAGCCAGCCCCTCCTATCTCACTGTCACAGCCAGCCTCTCTAATCTCACTGTCACAGCCAGCCCCTCCTATCTCACTGTCACAGCCAGCCCCCTCCCATCTCACTGTCACAGCCAGCCCCCTCCCATCTCACTGTCACAGCCAGCCTCTTTAATCTCACTGTCACAGCCAGCCTCTTTAATCTCACTGTCACAGCCAGCCCCTCCCATCTCACTGTCACAGCCAGCCTCTTTAATCTCACTGTCACAGCCAGCCTCTTTAATCTCACTGTCACAGCCAGCCCCTCCTATCTCACTGTCACAGCCAGCCCCTCCCATCTCACTGTCACAGCCAGCCCCTCCCATCTCACTGTCACAGCCAGCCTCTTTAATCTTACTGTCACAGCCAGCCCCTCCCATCTCACTGTCACAACCAGCCCCTCCTATCTCACTGTCACAGCCAGCCCCTCCCATCTCACTGTCACAGCCAGCCCCTCCTATCTCACTGTCACAGCCAGCCTCTTTAATCTCACTGTCACAGCCAGCCCCTCCAATTTCCATGTCACAACCAGCCCCTCCCATCTCACTGTCAGTCTAATTAAAGTGACTATCAACATGCAGCTCAGAGAAATATAAAAGGAAGCCAAAAAGCAACTCTAGCAGGTGAATAATAAACACAACCAATCAAAAGATGACCATGCAAACAATACTATGACTAAAGCAAATGATTATTAAATAGTTCTGAGACAAGTTTAAAACATTTCTGCTTTCTACACTTGTGATTTTATGATCTTCCAAAATATTAGCTAAGTATTAGAATACCCTTATTTTATGATATCAAGAAAAAGGAATTTAAAAAAAAAAATTTAGTAGCCTAAATTCATCCTAACTATTATTCTAGCAAGTAGTCCCAACCATGATGCAAGCATGAACAGAAAAACTACAGATAAGAGTTAAAATTTTCCCAGTTTTCATGATATTGAATTTTAAAATCTTCAAGCTTAGAAGTTAATTGAAATTGCAAGAAAATCATAATACACATTTACATTTGATGAGAAATCTTTAATTTGGAACCAACTTGCTAATTGGGGTGATGGACTACAGATCCAAACATAATAGGTAAAAGTCTTACAGAAAGAAGTGGAAATAATATTGTTGAAAAATGAGACATACTTCTCATCTACAAAGATACAACAGTTCTAAAGTTAAGAATGCTATTATCTGCTCGTAGTATAGCTTCAAGACCACACAAAAAATTATTTATGATGTCAAGGACATTAAAAATACGAAGTGTGGGTCCAGTGGCGGAACTAGAAAAAAAGGGCCACCCCGCAAAAAAATTGTTTAGGTCACCCCCCCCCCCCCCATATATATATATATATATATATATATATATATATATATATGTATATATATGTATATATATATATATATATATATATACATATAATATGCACAAACATTAAATGCAAACATAGGGTACTTATTAATATTGCTGGCCAAATTACAACAACATGTAATTTTTGTCATGCGTACATTGAAAGTCTGTTTTAGTTTATTTTTGCTATACGACCTCATAGCCTCTAGACTTAGAAGGTCAAAAGAATATAATTCATGAAAGCTTTGTATAAAGTAATGGTGTCGTGTTATGTTTATTTTAATGTTTTTTTGTATTTATATTATTCATTTTAAATACATTTTCTTTTTATACAATGTCATTTATTAAAAAATAATAATTAAGAGAATTAATTGCTTTTTAGTTTGTTTAGTAAAAATCTATTTAAATGAGCTTCTGAGCACCCATATTTGACTATTTAAAAAAGGGAAATCAGTCATGGAAGTGGTTGGAACGTGTGCTTATCTTTGATAAGTTTGATTGTAGGAGAAAGAGGACTCGACTTTCACAGTGGTTTAAAAACAAAGGTAAAAAGAATATATAAGAGCTTGGGTTGGTGTTAATAGAATAAAGATAATCCAACCGCAGCTACTGTAATCTTTTTTACAAAACAACCATCAAGTCAAAAATGCAAGAAAATTTGTAAAATTTTAAATACAAAAAATGTTATTATGGTGTGCTGTGGGCCCCTAAATGGCGTGCCCCCCCCCCCCCCCCTGCATTGCAGGGGCTGGCGGCACTGTAGTTCTGCCCCTGCGCGGGTCTCCTCTTTAATATTAGTAAAGGTATCCAATAGATAATGAAGTGACCACGCTTTTCTTTATGGTAATTTAAATAGTAGCGTATATTAAAAGAAAATCATTTAATTTCTACTTTTTAGTGCATTATTACATAAAAGCTTGTTATTAAAACGTATTTTATGAATATATTTTTTTAGACTTTCATTTGGTCAACTTCTTGTCTTAAATTTGATACTTGACATGCTGGTTTTGTAGTCACATGGAAATGAATACAAAATATATTGTATCCTATTCATATTTTGTTTCAGTAGATATCGAATTTATTTCTGCTCATGAAGACCGAATAAATAATATTGAAGTGTGATATTTTATCCTGAAATGAGTCTAGTGTTGCTGTGAGTTTACAAAGCACACCAAAAACTAAAATTTAAATAATCAATTTTTTTAATGAAACCCAGTTAACTATGATGTAATGGCCAAAGTGTAAAGGCAGCCCTGACTATCCTCTCTATTAGACTGGGAACTACTGAAAGGAACTATGGAATTCAATGTTAGTTCTTTCTATTAATTTCCCACCAATGAGACACTAGAGCTATGGAAATGATGTGACCTATCCTACCTGATAGAGACTTAGTGACTGTGGTGTGGTGGGGCGCAGGAACAATGTGTCTTGAGAAGTGAAGCCTGAATCTTGGGAACTTACACTGGTCAGGCGGATTGCTGGGGGCTGTGCACAGGATGATCAATGATGGAGACATACAAAAAAAAAATGGTGTCAGGCCAAGCTTTTAGACTAAAGCTACAAAATTTATCTTAACATTTCTTACAAATATTACCAACTTATGTTAATATTTCTCATGAAAAGCAAGATTGTTATGCAAAGAGCTAAAACTTTTCAAAAGTTGAGGCTAAAAGCTTGGCTTGGTGGTGTACCAGCATGCCTTTAAAGATACCAAAATGCTCAATGTGATGAGATGACATGCCAAATTGTTGTCTTGGTCAGAGATTCTGTTAAAACAGTGCAAACCCTTAACTGTCATGGTGGTTTCACACAATCACACTGTTCTACTGTCATGATGGCTTCACACAATCACACTGTTCTACTGTCATGATGGCTTCACACAATCACACTGTTCTACTGTCATGATGGCTTCACACAATCACACTGTTCTACTGTCATAGTGGCTTCACACAATCACACTGTTCTACTGTCATGATGGCTTCACACAATCACACTGTTCTACTGTCATGATGGCTTCACACAATCACACTGTTCTACTGTCATGGTGGCTTCACACAATCACACTGTTCTACTGTCATAGTGGCTTCACACAATCACACTGTTCTACTGTCATGATGGCTTCACACAATCACACTGTTCTACTGTCATAGTGGCTTCACACAATCACACTGTTCTACTGTCATGATGGCTTCACACAATCACACTGTTTTACTGTCATAGTGGCTTCACACAATCACACTGTTCTACTGTCATAGTGGCTTCACACAATCACACTGTTCTACTGTCATGATGGCTTCACACAATCACACTGTTCTACTGTCATGATGGCTTCACACAATCACACTGTTCTACTGTCATGATGGCTTCACACAATCACACTGTTCTACTGTCATAGTGGCTTCACACAATCACACTGTTCTACTGTCATGATGGCTTCACAAAATCACACTGTTCTACTGTCATGATGGCTTCACACAATCACACTGTTCTACTGTCATGATGGCTTCACACAATCACACTGTTCTACTGTCATAGTGGCTTCACACAATCACACTGTTCTACTGTCATGATGGCTTCACACAATTACACTGTTCTACTGTCATAGTGGCTTCACACCATCAATATTTTCTACCCTCTAGCGTACATATAAATTCATTGAAAAAATTAATACTTTAGAAAGTTACCTCCTTAACACACATCCAGAATGAAGTTGTACAATGTATATAAGGAAATAGTGTTCTGGTCACTAAAGGACTTCCTGGGTTTTCCCAAAAGAAACAACTATTATTTTTTGTTATCCCAGGGGTGATTTTAAGACCTCACAAATTAACACACAGTTTTGATGTGGAGAGTAATTTTTTAAATATATCACTCGCTACAAGTTTTTAGCCCACAGCGAGGACATCGAGGCTGACTTATAGTTATCCCATAGGGTCAAGTCAATTACAAAGTCCATGCAAAAAATTAGCGAGGTATTTAGAGCCTAGACTTTTTTACAATGTGACTAGAGGTGATGAGGATTTAAACTTTTCATAGTGTGTTCCACATCTGGTGGTAGGGAGTGAATGTAAAAATCTGCCTCAATAGCATTTTGTTTATGACCCCATAAAATCATGCTTAAACAAAATTTTATTTGATACTTTTTTGTAGTTTGTCTCGTGACCAAACTGAAACTCACTTCCGAACCAGGTGGTGCAATGTCTGATGCCTGGGGGAGGGGGGAGGGAGAAGAGAGAGAAAGAACTAGACTATTCCCAGTGTTCTGAAGACCATATAAATCTATGCGTAGTAAGAGAGATACACACTAAATAAATTGTTTTTAAACATGCTCACACAAAATTACACATACAAAAGGTTTAAATCTGTAGAGCTGCAATTATTTATTTTAATCAACTAAGTAAAAATGTAAGTTCATAAGGCGGAAGAAAGATATGAAGCAAGCCAGAAAAGTGTTTGTTACATGATATGGCCCACAGTGTAGATTAAGCTCAATTATTTTTAAAAAAAGAAGTAAATGAATACTGGATGCTCTAATCCAGGAGTAGTTTCATTGAAAGTTAGACCAACTAATCCCTCTTGTAACAAACAGCATCCTATGATCATTTAATTATAGCTATAAATCTCTTACCCTCTAATACATATTTCCTAGATATAACTACACAATTGTATTACAACATGATCTTATTCAGAGTTCATCTTTTCAGACTTAACTAGCTGCATCAATGTAATAGTGTAAATAGAAGTAAATTATTTCAGACAGCTTAAGGAACAAATTAAACTTACAAAAGGAAAAAAAACAAAACAAAAAAACTTAAAGCCACTGGCAACAGTGGTTGGTAAATTATGTTTCAGGGATTTGATATATTGACCACATTTACAAAGGTTCTTTTGATTAGAAATTGTGTTCTTATGATTATTTAAAGGGTTTAAGTTTAAATGGTTTTGCTTTAAAGGGTTCTTCTAGTAATTTTCAAAGATCCTCAAGAAGTTTGTATGAAAGTTGTGAAAGGTTTTTACTGTATGTTTTAAGGGGTTCTTTATGACTTCATTTTAAAGGTACTTTGCATGGTTCATATGATAATTATAAAATAGGGTTCACTTAATTGTTTTCAAGAGTCGATTCAATTGTTTACAGGGTTCGTCATGACCATTTTTCGTAGTATACTCTTGTTTGTGTTTTAAAGGATTCTAATACCATTTTTTAAAGGTTCATATGACTATGTTTAATGGGTTAAAATAGGCAGATAAATATGTATGAAAACAATAGTTTTAAAATGTCACAAAGTATTGAGTAATCAAAGTTGTAAAAAGCAAATTATGTTATAAAAACGGTTACAGGGGACAGCGAAATGAGAAAACTAAATACCTGAGATGTATTTCGCTTGTGCATAGTGTGGCTCGGGGAATGTGATGATCCACTTGAGCTGCTGTTGATACTGTTGATGCTGCACATGCTTGACTTGCGGGAACCCAAAGAAGAAGGAGAACTGGGAGGAGATGGTTGCTTGATCGAAAAATAAATAAAAAAGTAAGTCTCTTATTATAGAAGTAGAAAACAGGTTATATAAAAAGGTGAACAAACAAAACAGGTATTGACTAACACCGTGTTTACACATGTATACTAGACTTGACCTACTAATTTGTATACTAAACATGTTACGGGTATATGGAACATCTTCTGAGTCACAGGGCACAAAACCACGCCCCTTTTTATGTTCTGGGTCAAGTTTTTGTCTTTGCTTGCTGAGCGAAAACATAGGACATGTTCTGAATTTTTAGATGAGTGCACATGCGTCAAAAGCAGTAAGCGCATCATAGATCTCAGCTGATTGCAAAACTAAATATAGATTCTACTGATTTTGAGCACACGATTTCATAATTTATAACTTCTCTAGGCCCTACTAAAATTTACATTTTTATAATTACTTAGTATTTCTTTAATTAGTCTAAATTCCAAACACGTTTTAATGAAATAATGTAATGTCTAAGGTATTACAATTTTGCCTTAAAACCAGTTTAGGTATTAATTACAAAAATAATAATTAATTAAAAAATATAATTTAACCAAATTTATCTCCAATTTTTCCTTTGACCAATATTTGTTTTAAGTGTATCAACATATTTTCAGCTTCCGTCTGACATGAATAAATCTTTAGGCCCACCCACCAGAATCATTGTTTCTTCCAGACTTTTTTCTCCTGGGGGGGTGGGGTCAACACTTTTCTGGGGGGGGGGGGGGGGGCGGCAGGCGGACACTGGTAAAAGTATATATTTTCTATATAAATTCAATTCCAATTCGTTCTCCCCCCCCCCCATCCCCCAAATAGATGCCTGGAAGAAACTCTGACCAGAATGTGTTCATTGGATCACACATAATCAACTAACTATAAAAACAGGCGGATAAAAAAGTCATAGGCTAATTATTTAGGTTTTAAATGGGTCATAATAAACATACAGAAACGAAGTGGGGGGGAGGGGGGGAAATGTCATAGGCCCTACTCTAAAAACTAGATCTACTTTTATTCTTAATAATAGACTCAGTACAGTTATAACACGATCTCAATACATATAATGAACTTGACAGATGGGAGTTTTTGGAGAAATCGGGCCTTTACTTTAAGCAAACAAATATTTAGCCCTGTTTATTGGAAGCTGTTTCAGAAGGATATAGACAAGCAATTAAAGAAGCTGGGGAAATGGCTACCATGGGGTTGGGGTGGGAAGTTTCTTCCAGGCATCTCTTCGGGAGATGTGGGTAATGTCTACGACCCGTGGTATTATACACAGCATTATATTTATAAAAACTGTCTAGCTCCAGTAGCTGGCACTCCAGTAAAATTTATAAAATCTTGCATGTTCTCTAATTTTTATATAATTCATTGTTGAATCTCAAGCACCGTGGCTACACCATTTTCCTTTTTTAAAAAAAAATAAAGCTGTGTGTATCTATGTTTTTTTTACTTTGATTACTCTTTATTTTATTTGTCTAGGCCTTTATAGCAGACGCTCCGGGTAAAAGGTCATGCTTGTTTTATAAAATGTTCTATAACATGTTCTGTAAGTGTGAACGCTAAAGTATACATGTTCTGTGGAGAAAATTTTGTTCCAGATAAAAATAAATTTTGGCGGGCTTTGTGTTCTGGAAATGTATAGTATACATGTCGAAAGTGTAAACGCGGAATAAGATATCTCACAATGAATGAGAACAAGGTAAGAAGGTGTTGTGTGGTTTGAGTTGTGGGTGAAGTTGAGTTTAACTAAGTTGTACATATGAGACATAATGTTGCCCATTTCTATTTTATTTATAAAATAATTCTTCAAACTAGTTCGCATTTTCTTTTTTATTGTATACAATACAAAATAATGGATACAGCATAAAATTTACATTACTTTTTCTACACATTCTAGATTTTAAAAATCAAATCCTTTTGTATTAACTCCAAAAAAAAATAAAAAAATAATTTGGAACTTTATTATATAGAGGAACTTCCAAAAAATAAGTTTAGGTGGTGGTTCTGATGCTTGAAAAGACCTTTTTTTACTAGCTTTTTCTTAAGTTACAGCATATGGACTACTATTTTTCTGTGAGTCTTTGGTCAAACTCGTTTCTCAAATTTGACCCAATTTTATTGGAGCCATTTCTTTCAAAATTTCAAAAATAGTGTTTCATGGTTAATGCAAGCAAATGCTAATATTAGTCACAAAAACTTTTTTTTGGAGAAATATTGCTAGTCCCTTCCACCAAACGCTTGAATCAACAGATGTGTGGAACACTGAGCAACTGCTAAATAGACCAGTATCACTGAACCCCCAGTTATAGACCCAGCTGAAGTAGACCTCCCCTATCAACTGCAAAAAGCCTACTAGAGAAAAGATTAGGAAAGTCATCTTCCACGTGAAGGGTGGGAAGGCAGCTGGATCTGATGACACCCCAGGCCTTAAACACAAACCTGGAAGCTCTGTGAGCGAATATGGGAGAAGGTAAAAATACCAACAGACTGAAAGGAAGGCCATCTGAAAAAGCTACTAAAGAGGTAATATCTACTACTGTAACAATTACAGGGGAGAATCAAATGCCTTTAAGTACCTGGAAAAGTTTTTAAGAAGAAGAGTCCAGTTGAGTAGGATGAGTAATGTCCTTGACCTAGAGGTCAATTGGATTCTGACAGAATAGATCCTGCACGGACCAGATCCCAACACTCTGCATCATAATTGAGCAGTCAATAGAGTGGGACTCACCACTGTACGATAATTTAATTGATTATGAAAAAGTTAACAGTGTGAATAGAGATACTTGCAAAGCTATTACAACACTATGGCATTCCAATGAAAACAGTAAACCTCATTAAAAACACATGCAAGGGGACATCCTGTCCAAGATGAGATTTTAGGTGTGAACGCTAATCAATCAAGGATATCTGTTATCCACTCTTTATCATCATCTGGATCATCCCACAACCAACACCAGATGCAGGAGAAAACAAACATGGTAGCAGGTAAGTCAGTACATGATGGACTTCACAACAACCAAAAGACAAAAATATTGAAGATTAATGCTACCAGAACTGAACAAGTAGAGTAGAAGTACAGCAAGTACCACTTCTGGTAACCAGAAATCACTCCAAACATGAGAGAGAACTATACAATAGATTTAATACTTGTATATGAAATTTGTTTAAGTTAAGGTAACTGAAAGAGTACTCAAGTTATCGAGTTCACAGACAAACACATAGACAAAATTATAAAACTGAATTTTTCCTACAAACTGAGGAGTAAAACGTCAATATTTGTTAAAATCTTTACTTAAATTTTTTTTGGCATGACTAAAATACTCCTGCCATACTTTGCATATGAGAAAAAAGTATTGATGTGATTAGGGATGCTTGTCTTAAAATTGAAGAACTTCAGCACAACTGTATACTTCATAGTGAAAGAGACCCATTGGATAGACGCATGATTATCTACAGATGAACTTATTTGCTACTAATGCGACATACCCCCTTAATACTAAAGTGACATACCCCCCTCACTACCAATGCAACATGACCCAACAGCGATTACTTGTTTTTACCTATCATGTGTCTATCGCAGAAAGCACTTCTACACTATTTACGCTTACTTAATATAGTACAAGAATGCACACGATTTTCCCCCCAAAATAACGTACGTTTCTAGCATTTTTTGTTTTTATTTTTTACTAAGTTTACTACGTCCAGTTTTGGACAAATTTTTACACTTGTTTTCATGTAAACAGTTGCTTCTGCATTATGGTAGTTTTCAATTTGTTTTAAAGAAACAGTTAATTAGATTCTGTATTATGTTAGATATTTAAGATATTAAAATTAGCAATCAGAATCTATTGTAGAATCATAATTTTTTAAATATTACAAATAATACTGAGCTCTACGTCGAGTTGAATCACAAAATTAACTCTAAACAATAAACACTATTAGAAAAACATATTAAATTATATATTTTCTTTGAGAATATAATTTATTTATTTGATGAGTATATTTTGTGCCTTTTTAATAATTAAACAAACGAGACTTATTTTTAAAACAATATCAAAGAAATGTTGTTGGGGGTTACCTCCCTTAGCTTAGGGACTGGTGAAGGGTTTTGAGGCTTAAGTAGCAAATTAGTTAAGGATGTACTCAATATTGATTTTCACCTACTTGATTAAAACTCCAGGCATTTTCAACACCTTTTAGATCAAGAATGACTTGTTCGCTTGATGGAGGTAAAACACTAGGTTCACTGGCTTGCATACATAGGCTCTCCATGATCTCACTGATGTGGCTGATTTCTGTAAGAAGCTTTAATTCCTGGTCCTAGAAAAAGTTATCAAAGATTAGAATTTACTAACATAGTGAGTTTTCTGTAACTAGAATAGCTATTGTGTGGTACAATCTGGTGTGCCCGCCCTATAATGTTTTGTACATTTATTTACACATAGTAGCAGGTCTCGTTGGTAACGAGATTTTGAAGATACCGGGAAATAAGTTGTGTTTACATTGTTCTATCACTAGTGGTTCATTTTCTACAATTTTTCTTAAGTTTTGTGTATATTGCTTTTTATTTTTTTAACGTAAGTGGTTATTTTCAAACGTTATTTTTAAAAAGTGTCTTGGTTGAAAAAAAAAGCGTCATCTTAAGGGAAGTAAAATAGTTTTGATGCCCAGGCCGGTAAATGGTTAAGTTACACAGGTGTTTGGCCAAAAGATTGATGTAGGTTTTATGGTTCTACATGGACGATACATGACGTAATAAAGGTACAACTATAGACCCCATTATATTTTTGTCGAGAGAAAGTAGATAGCCTCTTACCACAAAAGGTTTTAGACAAGTGATGAATAAACAGAACCTTGACCGCTCTTCTATAAGAGCCAACCTAACAGAGTTTTTCTCGGTTTCTTCTAGTTCATGGTATTTGGAATTCACTTCCAGCATTGCACTCTCTAATTTTTGATGCATGTCTGACTTCCCTGAAATTTTAAAAAGTATTATTTCACTTCATTAATGTAACAACAATAAACTTCTTTTATAGCAGTATTTGGTTGGTTTCTTTTAAATCTTTTTTTTATAAAAAAAAGTATGGCAACATAAAAAACAATTTTGACTCATTATAGTACTAGATGTGTAGAAGAGATGTACAAGAAATATTATCAGTATATGACAGCCACTACCTGTGGAACATCGCTGACAATTTATTTAGAAGGCATTATACAGGGATGTGACCACACCATGTAAAAAAAGGGGGAAGTTTTTTCTGTCAAGAACTCAATATTTTATTAATGTTATATCGCAGTTAAAGCAGTGCAAATTTCTGTGTGCACTTTTTTCCGTCTTTCAGGGACTGTCAGGTTTGAAAAGGGATCTTTACATTACCCCCCCCCCCCCCCATTCTATGTGAAAGCAGCCATCTGTGACGAGAGTTTTATTATAGACAACGATGAAAAGACCAAGCAGAACTTGTGATTACCCCCCTCCCCTAGTTTCAAATATTTAAAAACTAAATCTGCCCCCAATAGCTGTCACTAATTTGACCCGGCTCTACAATAGTAAACATTTGGCATGAACCACAGCTCACAAGACCGGTAGGGGTGGTAGTGATATGCCTAGAGAGTGAGGGAGGGGGCAGTTTGGCGTGCTTACATTGTGTCTCGCATGGTCCCTCCATGAAGAGAATTATATATATTGAAAGTAGTAATAATTTAAACCAAAACATTATACCATGAGTAGCTCCCTTTTTGACCTTTTTCTGTAACCTTATTGTGTCTGATGCAGCCTTCTTGATATCAAGCTTTGCTTTCTTGTATTCTGAAAAGAAAAAATACACTCTCTTTTATGGACTATACTGTCATAGCTTAGTAACTCTAAAAGAAAAGAGCAGTAAATAGATTAAATCACTATGAGGATCCAGAAGGTAAAATGATAACTCATCAATAAAGATTTGTTGAAAAAAATATTTTTATAATGCCCCCTAAACCATGAATGTAACAAAAGAAGTAACAAAATTGAGTTACAATAATTATGGTCATTACAAGTATCATGGTGGAAAAGCAATTTGTCATTTTGCTTTAATGCTGTGTATGAAGTAGTAGTTTTTTAAATGTTTGGTTGGTAAATGGTTTAAGAAGTGAGACTAGCCTATAATGGACAATAAATAACAGTGATAAAAGTGGCATACCTTTAGAATGATCTTTATCTAACTGGGCTACTGCCTTTTTCCAGTCCTCTAGCTTTTCTTGTAGTGGTGTCACTAAGTTATCAAGAATGGAACTGCAAAATGTAGACCAAAGAATTCTTACCTACCAATAAAAACTTCCATAAAGCTAGAAATATGTAAAATAAAAAAAAACGTAAAAGAGGTATATAATATTACAAATATTATACAACAGCCTACTTTGAAACAAAGCAATAAATGCATTGTTGGATGGTTTGTTTTAAATGGAGAGGAATTGGGGAAGTGTCCTCACAAGGATGAATGAAAACTAAGCTGCTCTCAACAAATAATGCTCATTATTATTTACAGGGTTTGTATACATTTTTGAAAATGAAATTCCAACTTTTTTTTTTTAAAAGTTCCAGTTCCAGACTTTTTACAGATGTTTTTGTGACTACTTTATAAAATGATGCAACATTTGTACTCTCATTTTAATAACAGTATAATATTTATTTTAGGCGATTGAGCTAATGTTTGTATTAAACTTTCTCAAGCCAATTGTCAGAGAGGGGGTTTGCTTCTTATGACCTAACTATACTAAAAAAAAACACAACCATATATATATATATGGGATCCGGACAAAAGGCCAACATGGACAAAAGGCCAACAAGTTTTATATAACAACAAACTACAATTACAGACATTTAATTTTTATTGAAAACCAGTTATAATGATAAAGTTATATTACAAAATAGAAAAAAATTAGGGCCTAGTATGATAAGTTGTATGCCATGCTACTAAGAAATTCAAGTCTAGTTCGGTTTTCCCTTTAGGTAATGACATTGTTATCCTGTCCTCTTTGTATATATATTTTGTTTTTTTATGGCTAACCAAGCAATATTGCCTCAATCTCTACTTTCACTCGTCCTTGTTCTTGTTTTAGTTTTTTTTAGCAAACAATAGACTCCAGGTTGATCTTTTCCAACTCTTACCTGCCACCTCCTGTGCCACCCCTCAACTGTGTTTTGGGTCCTTGGAATCCCATTTAGATAATTGTCATAGTTTCTTTCATTCTTTTTGCAAAATGTGGTGGTAACGGCACCTTCTGTTTATCCTTTGTACACTCCCTCATACCGAGTCACATGTACCCCATTGTCACCTTACAAGGATCGCAACTAGCATTGTCTCTTGGCATTCTGCCTTGTTGCATGTGGGTGATGATGCTGGCGGCTTTAGACTTTGTTCTTTGATGGCTGTCTCACCTCGCTGACATAGGAGCTATGATAAACAGCAGTGACCACATTTCACAATAATTAGGTGTTGATCCTTTGTGTTTAAGACACTCCCGTAATCTTCAGTCGCTTGACCCGATGGTTTACTTATAAGGATAGCAACTAGCATTGTCCATTCTGTTGGAAGTTTTCCCTTATTGTATGCCCTTTTACATTGGTTGTCTAGGTATGAGCTATGTAGTAACACATATTTTGCAATATAAGTATTTTTATGTTGTCTGCCTTATGGTCTGTCAGCCTTTTGGCTGTTGGCCTTCTGTCCTACCCATATATATATATATATATATATATATATATATATATATATATATATATATATATATATATATATATATATATATATATATATACACATTCCATTTAGTATTAAGACAATTAATTCTAAGAGATGGGCACAAATTATGTTTTACTTCCTAAAAGCAGAGGTGCCTGACATACACATGTTTTGAAACATAAACTAGTAGTTACCTAGTCAAAAGTTTGAGATGAGACTCTATACTTCTATGTCTCATACACAAGCGTGTCAAAGCAGAGCCTATTTCACGGGTTGCACCTGAGAAATAAAAATAGCAACTTTATAAAACAGGGTTGCCTGAATTTTAAAAAATGTCAGTAACAACAGTACATCTGGACACAAAATTTCTGTTATCTATGTGACCAGTGTTAAAAATTAGAATATAGATAACATACTTTTTGCTGAGTTTTTTTTTTTTTTTACAGCGTTTCTTGGATTGTTTTATGGATGCAACTATTTTTCAATGACTAAAGCTTTTGTTAAGAATTTTGCACAAGTATATATATATATATATATATATATATATATATATATATATATATATATATATATATATATATATATATATATATATATATATATATAGAAAGAGAGATATATGGTTAAGTGGTTAAAAGTAATTACATTGTTGCATTAAGGTGCAATTAATTATAAAACACATTTTGTTTGTTTTTGCTTGACATTGATCATGGATATTGTGAAAACAGATATCTTGAGGCAAATTTGACCTTGCTTGTGCTTGAGAAATTAAGATTCTGCTGATCCAAAGAATCAACATAACCAATAAAAAATGCAAAGAGAACAAGAGGTGGTTTTACTTAAAAATTATGACTTTACAAACAGGGTTGGTGAGTTTAAACAAGGTCCAGGTAAGTGAGTACAACTGTAGTATGAATGAAATAATTTAAGAAATGTATGTGAGCAACATTTGACTAGGTCCTTTAACATATTTTTGTATTAAATTTCTTTTTTAACTTATTCATAAGACTTAATAGCATACATTAAATGCACACTTTTTTGCCCCTAGCTTCAAAATATATTCAGGGATGATGTAAGTCCAAATCTTGTTACTTTAAATTATGACCATGGGAGTGTGAAACTACAACTCAGTTCTCTTCTCACCAATAGGACATAGAGCTGGACTGGTAATCTTTAGAGCATTGTTTTAAACATTGTTTTAAGTCATTGTTCAAAGAAGGTCTTTTGCAGAAAACAGTAGGAACAGTCAAACATAAACAGAGGAATTCAAAGCAAAAAAAGATGAACATAGTGCTGATGCTACTTTGCTAAGCAAAAAATAAATACTTAAAATGACAAAACAGGCAGTATACACAGTAGATAAGTATTATGTATTGTAGTATAATTTTATATAGTTAAATTAATTTGAAACTATTTTTAAAACCTGCCTCCCCCCCCCCCTCTAAATTTAGCCTTACACTACATTCATCATTTAATTACCCCTTTTTCAATTTTGACTTTTTTTCTTATATGCGTCTAATTGTGTCAAACCTATGAAGTAGGTTTTTTTTCTAAGCTAAAAATAACCATCTTAAAATTATATATATTCTAGTGCCAGCAGAATTTAATCAGCTAGCATGGTCATGTGTCGCAACCACATTTGTCTTGTTGTCAAGCAAGTGGGTGTTGATGGTTTGTTAAGAAGATGCAGCCATTAAAAATTTAAGCATAGCTAAATAAAATATGAAACCCGCGCATAGCTCAGTTTCATTCCTATATAGTCCATCAAATAAATTAGCTTTTCCCTCATAATTTTTTGGTAAAATAGAGAATATGTCCAACTAATTTTTAGAAAACTTCAGATGGTGTTAAAATATCAGCGTACAAAGAAAAACGTATCCCATAAAAAGGCAGTAGAAAACTTGCATGTATTCGTAGTTGAGCCTCACCCCTCTCCATAATGTCCTTCTATTACAATAGTTGTTTTAAATAAAATTCCAGGCTTTTCTTTGACACGCCTAAAAACTAGTGATTTTCAAGACTTTTTAAAAAATCAAATTCACTTTTAATAACTTCAACCTTTTATCAGACTGCGCACAAACCCTGAGAAAGTCACTCTTGTTTTGATCTGATTTAATATCTTCATATTCATAACCCTAACCTATAAAGTAAGTAGTCCACAGCCTATTCTGACATCAACTCTCAGGATGATAACTCTCAGGATGATTATTTGTCAACTTTTCAGCATATTGTTTCATCAGGAAAAATTCAGACAATGAACAAAAACATAGCTATATTGCACAGCTACAAACATAAATAGCCACAAGTCAAATAGTCTGCTGTAATGTAGCTTTATGTTTATAGTTGAGAAAGTTTTGTCTGCTATTAAAAATTCTGGTTCGCCTGATTAGGCACTGATTTTAACGCTCACCGTATGCAGTCATTTACCAACCTTGCCGTATATCATGGGTGGAATCCACCCGCATACATTTATACAGAGAAAAACAATTCAGGCATTGTATACAAAACCAATAAAAAGTGTAGACACGCATTATTGAATTAAGCATAACATCCTCTTTGAACTACATAAAATTAAAGACACTAAACAAAACATGAATTTCCATTTCAATCTTTGAGTTGGGGGCAGGTGTTTGGAACTTTGTGACATCACCATTTCAGCTGTCCTTGAATGACCTCAAAAATTCAAGAACAGTTCAACTTTTATAAGGCCAATACTATATCCTGGTTATTTTAGCTGCCATAAAAAGAAGGTTAAAATTCATGCACATTTTAAAGTTTTATTTTAATTAATTTATTTTGTCACTGGGTGTTTTCTTGCCCTTTAACTCTACCGGGTAGATGAAACATACGATGACCTAATTCACCAGACAAAATAGTGTGCCTCATTCATCATCAGTCCTTTATGGCCCCTGGGGAGCAAAGGGCTGCAACCACACATCTCCAGCGGACTCGGTTTTGGGCTGCTCCTCTAATCTGTGCCCATGAGAGCCCAGCTGTTTTTGCCTCCTCCTCAACCGTTCTCTTCCATGTTTTCTTTGGCCGGCCCACCCTCCTTTTCCCCTGGGGATTCCAGTCCAATGCATGTTTTGCGATGTTTTCTTTTTCTTTTCTTAACGTGTGTCCGATCCATCCCCATTTTCAGGCCTTAATATCTTTCTCTATTGGCTGTTGCAATAGTGTGCCTAGGGCAGACATTTAAAATTGAAAACTAGATTCCACCCACAATAAACAGTGACGGTTAATGATTTTGTAATCCTGATATTTAATTTTAAAGTAATATCCCATTTTTATTAACAATTAGATATTCTTGCATTGTCTTCAGAGAAAAATGTATCTGTACTGTAAAGTAAACATCACCTTTGCTTAAAAAATGGATCAGGAATGAGTTTAAAAAATTGCCACCAGTCCACAAACAAACAGCAACTGGGAACTAAATAAAGCTAAAAAACTAGAATACTTTTTACTAACACTAGTTACCTTTAGAATTAGTTGCCATGTCAGCTACTTTCTGAAATGCCTCAAGAAATGCACCAATGGCAACTACTGTTGTTCTGGAAAATAAAAATAGATTAATCAATAGTTTCTATTTTCTATAGTGATTGATTTCAATTAGGTGGTTTTACACAAATGATGACAATCATCTGCGTTTAACAGATGTCAACATTAATTAAAAGTGTGATTGAGCTCTCTTACACTTTCTTGTATTTTCATATGTAAATTTATTGGAATCAGGCAATAGAAATCGTAGAGAAGTTAGTGACAACTCACTTTTTGAGAAAACATGTACTGGTGAAAAGTTCTTAGAACGTGCTATAAAAATTCACAATGTTATTAAGCAACCATAAAAAATACAACTCCTGCTGAGAGTAAATGGAGGCTCAAAAGTTGCCAGAAACCTATAAATAGGATATAATACTTATATAAGAAATATGTTTTTCCAGCTGATCATTTTCCATTATATTTTTGCCATTGTCAAATTAACAGCATTAACACAATAACAGCCACTCAGTTCAATTAAATGTCTATATATATATATATATATATATATATATATATATATATATATATATATATATATATATATATATATATATATATATATATATATGTATATATGTATATATATATATATAGACATTTAATTTAAATCAGCCCTGTTCAATTAATCAATGTCTAATAATGACTAAGCTACAGAATTGAGTGACAAAGACATATTGACAACACTTGTAGATCTACACAAAAAACTAAAAAATGTGTTCATTTGATCTTATTTTTAAAAAGAAAGGATTAACTATTCTTTTGAATAAATATTCTGCTAGGCACACTGCTAGGATGTAAATAATGAAAGAATTAATAATTACCGTAGCAGATAGTGTATTACTATCATGTTGTCAGTAAATAAGTATGAAAAGCCTGAGATGAGATTTTCAAACACAATGAAAAGATAACACCTTGGCAAGGTCTATGAAGGAGTTTTTCCTTCACTTTCATTTTTAAAGCATCTATTAGGATCTATTCCAAGTAATGTATAAGTATAAAGATTAGAACTTGGTTTTTTTTAATGAGGGACTAGGTGTCTGATTGTATAACTAACTTCTCTAAAATATTGCAATTCGTGTGAATAGCAGGATGAAAGTGTGATAATTTAGGCCTACTTACTTCAAAGATGAATGTAGTTTCACAGATTTATAGGTAAAGTCTTCCCAAATTGGGGAACTACCCTGTTTAAAGAGATAAAATTAGATTCTAAATAAATTATTAAATTTAAAAATAAAATAGGTATAAAATAGAATACTTTGCACCAAACAGTAAATTTAAAAAAGTTTTTGTAAAATGAAGCAGAAATTGTACTGAACACTTGTAACCTATACAATAAAATGGTTTCAAGAAAGTCTATAACCATGTGTATTATAACGCTTAAGCAATACACAACTTAAAATCAATACCCGCAAATCATTGACTACAGTTTGAAACAATCCTCCAAGCATTCCTACATCTTTCTCAGGATTCACTTTTGGTTCATCCATGACTGAAACATAAAATTTAACTGTATAATTATTAGAATTCACTAAATTGGGTGTTGGTAAAGTGTGAGATGCGAAACTGCGAGGTGGAAAAATTTTATAAGTGTGTGAAAATCACATCTTCCCCAACAAATCTTATGATGGGTGGTGGTAAAATACGGAGCTGTCTGTGAAAATTATACCGCACCCGATTAACAATGAACTTTGATGCAGACTTCAAAGATGTTCAGATTTTACTTCACTAGATGTGCTGATGATTTATCCACTCCTTTCATTTGTGTCGACTTCGGCTACCACTTTTTTGAAACCACCCCAAATTCCAAATTTGTTTCCATCGCTAGACAAATAGAAATAAATCAACTTCTTTCTTATGTGTGGAACACTCAAGCGGTGCTTGAAGCCGCTGCCACAGCAAACATGTATTGTTTCAAAGCAATTCTGTGCTGTTACAGAGTCACCTACAATTTATTTCTTCATCTTAGTAGTTTTTTTAAAAATATTATTTAAAATTTTAAATTACTTAATAAACAAATCACACTTTTTAAATTGTATTTATACTTCTACGCTTTCTGCAAAATGTTAAAGATAGTAAGGTATTAGCCATACATAAACAATGTGCTTGAATATTTCTCCCACTGACAAGATTATATGAACTCACAATCACCTGAAGAAGTGGGTGACAATTTTTAGAATTTTAAATACAGATATAGATTTTAAAAAATACAATCTAAAATAAGATTCTCTTTAAGGACTCGCAGTAACCACTGCACTGCGACTGAATTTTTCTCCCGCTTTACAAGAAAACGTGAGCAGGCAATCATATGAGCTAAGAGGTTAATATCTTTGAATATTAAAAACAAAATCTAAACTAGATCAAAGAACAACATACAATACACTTGTGATATATCTAGATGTAGCCTACTTGTTTAGTTTATAACTTTTCTTTTTGCACATATGGTGGGGAAAAAAGTATGAAACATAAAAATTGGCTTGTATATTATATAGTGTCTTGCTATTTACCGTGATTCCAAAAGTATGTCTGATATTTTCTTCTCACAATTTACCAACACCTTCTTCCCCAGACATGACAAATGCTATTGCTATATCAAGTAATTATTCCATCATTTAGGTCATTTGCATGAAATATTGCCTCACTGGGAATAGCCTCTGCCTAGTAATACAAGTTGCACCTGTAGTATCATGAGCATATAGTTTATTAATTAGGCCGCCTAGGTCTAAATCATTTTACTTTTTTTAAAAACACTAACAACCAAGAAATAAAAAATGAGGCTTGGGGTTCATAATCTTTAAGGACAACCCTATTCTGATCTGCCTTTGTGTAATGAGTTCAGAAAGTGTTCATACAGAGGGTATATTCAGGGGTTCCACTCATTTTTTAAGTCAATCCTGAAAATCAATCCCCAAATTTTACCAACCCTGAAATCAAAATTTGAAACCTGTATGACGCTGAAATGTCCCACCGACCTTTTATTTCATAAAATTGACAATAATTAGGCCCCTAAGCCTACATTAATTTTTGAAACAATTGACTCATATTTAAATGGCCGATGCTAGCCGGATTAAGATACGCATGCGCAATGGAGAGAAACTATGACTTGTCATCGCGGCGATGTTTTTCGATGGTACTGCGCATGCGTGTGTTTACAACCGTAGAACCCTAACACCAACCCTAATCCTATCCCTAACCCTAACCATAGGTCACTGCGCATGCGCAGAGCTATCTTTTGCCGACTAAGTGGAGACGGGGAGAAAAATATTCTTCCGAGTAGTCACTTCGTATTTAAATATTAGGCCTATCAATAGGCCTATACAATCCTTTAGTGAAATTTTAGTTTCGTTAGAATAATCAAACAAAAACAAACCCATCTCTACCCAATATGTTATTGTAGGCCGAGTGCAGATAACACAATCAGGACCATGATTAAAAAAAATCTATTGGGGGGGGGGGGGGGGGGGGGTGTCTCCATTCTACCGAAATGTGATTTAATTTTTAAAATGACTTTTTCAAGCATTCATAAAGGATAATCTACTAGACCTAGACTAGACTTCTAGATCTAATCTAGATTTTCTAGTCTAGGCCTAACTAATGTAATAAAGATGATAAAGTCTAGGCCTAGGGCCTAATTACTAATTAGTAATTACTAGGCCTAGGCCTAATAACTAATTAATATTTGATAAAAGATTTTGAAACTTTTAAATCGTAGTCTTAATCAAATCTTGAAATGGACTAGATGACATTATTTAAATGTAGTACACACCACCAAGGTCCAAGTAGATTCTAGATCTAGAAAATCTAGATCTAGATCACAAACTCCGGATGAAAAGTTAGGAATAAACACGTCTGAAACGGTGGCTGTGATACTGAAGTCTATCAGTTCGGGGTCATCACATATCATCTAGATCTAGACTTCTAGATTCTACATTCAATTTTAAACTCAGAGGAAAATGAGAACAAAGGAATGATTTTCTAGAAAAATGAAAACCTTTAGGCCTAACTTCACTGCACAGATAAACAACCTAAATCTAGATTTTAGCATTCTACTCCTTAGAATACATAGCCGAACACATCATTATCCCCGTCCTAAAAAGTAGAATATAGATTTCTATTTCTGTATTCCATTGAATTTATTGATTCGGCAGCAGTGAAAGTAGATCTATTTAGAAATCTAGAAATGAGAGTTAACATATTTAATATTGATTATTATTTGGGTAAATTAGATCTAGAAATCTAGAATCTAGGTCCAAATCTTGCTAGTTAGACCTAAACTCAGTTGTCAACTGTAATCTATTTATACTAAAATGGAGGTACAAGCACTCGCTTTCATGTGGTCACGTGACATTTTTAGCTCAGCTGATTGGATTCGCTTCAACTCTATTTTTTTTTTTTTGCCAGACCTTGGCCTAATAGGCCTAGGTTCTATTTCAAGTGGGGAGTGACTGTCGGTGTCATTGGAAAAAAAAATTAAAAATTAAACCCTTTTTAAAAGCAGGCTTTGAGAACCACTAAAAAATAAGCTAGAATCTAATTGTAAAAATAATGAATTGCTAATTAAAAGCGCTGGTCGTTTCAAAAATATTTTAAATACATTTTGCAATCAACGCTTTTAATACTTTTTTACGTTCTCATATGATGTCGTATACAGAGTAGGCCTATAGATCTACTGGCCATAGAATCTATAGCACGGGTTCCCAACCTGGGGGTCGCGAAGGTCTTTCTGGGGGGTCGCCAACTGGTATACTAAACCTTAGTAATTTGAAACAAAACATAAATATTTAGAATTTTTGAAATTTGGCTTCATTAACATCGCTGGAAATGTAATAGAGAAGAAACAAAGCGGACTGTACAAAGTTGTTCTCAGTCACGAATCTATGAAATCTTCAAAACTAAAACGTCATTTGAGACGAGTCATTCGGAACACACCAAAAAATATATGGAGTTCTTTCGTCGGTGTAATAGATTGACGATAGAAGCATGTGATTGTATATAAAGCGTTTATTGGCCTCAACTACATGATGGTAACGAGAGAGGGCGGAAGTCACGAGACACAAATATATATATATATATATATATATATATATATATATATATATATATATATATATATATATATATATATATATATATATATATACATATAAGGGACATCACTCAAGATAACAGTATAAATATAATACTAATACAAGAAGAGTGAGTTCCCTTGACTTCACAAGTCTCACTATATTACATCCCTTTACCCTTAGTAAACACAACACATCTCTCAATAGAACAATTTACAGTATCCTAAAATCACCAATTATATTGTAACATGAACACTATGGTAGATTACATCCTTACAAACAATGCACAATATGTTACAACATAATTAAAATACAAAACAATGATGTCAGTCCTTTTGACCTTTAAAATCATAGGTCTAACTTCTTTGAGACTTTGATTGTCCTGCTTGACCTTCTCAGTGGCTTTTGATTTGGTGACTCAAGATTCTGACCATATGGATTCTCTATCTCAGGAGGTCTAGGATCTAAATCATTAATTCCAGAATTTACATTTTCTGACTCTAGACAACTTGGTTCACTCATATCAACAGAACTCGGTTGTGGAACAAACTGAGTTGGTGTGAACTGATCAGATTTGGTGGGATTGATAGATTCACACTTATTATCTGCACAAGTTATTTTTAACTGGTCTGCATGTCTACGGACAATAAGTCCATCATTTGTTTTTACTTTATAAGACACAGGTCCTGTACATTGAACAATTTGACCTGGTATCCATTTTTCCCTTCTCCCATAATTTCTTAGATACACATTATCATTAACTCCAAATTCTCTTTCAATGGATGTCTTGTCATGATTTAATGGAACTATTTTTGAATTGGCATCTGAAAGTATTATGCTATTATTCAGATCCTTAACTGACATAGATTTCTTTGATTGATCAATTTTCTCAGGTAATCTGATAGTGCTTTTTAGTAACCAAAAATACTGTTTAAAAGTACTATCCTGGACCATATCAATTTGCAACTGTGATCCAGTATTTGAAGTGGGTGTATTAAATGACAAAAATCTTTTTTCTTTTGATGTTACCCTTTTAGTTTCTGTAAGTGCTAATGATGTTAGCAAAGTTGTTTGATGATCACATTCCTTCTTATTTAAAGCATTTGAAATTGCCATATCACCATAATCATTTATTAAGTTACAAATACTTTGTTTAGGCAACTCTGACTGATAATAAACTACATCTTCTCCATCTTTTAGACTTAATTCCAGTTTTCTTATTTTATATGGCCTTAAGTCATCATTCACTGACTCTTCAGGCCAACCATTCTTACAGTACTCATATACTTTTATTAAGCACTCATCTTTTTGTGTTTCTCTTTTAACATCATTCACATCTATATTGGAGTTATCCATGATAGTGAAAAGAACAAATACATCTTCTGGTACATAGCTAAGGCTTTGGTTTTTTAAAGGTAATCGACTAAGACTATCTGCACTATTCTCAGATCCAGGTTTGTATTTCAATTCATAATTGTATGCAGTTAGTGTGATAGCCCATCTTTGAATTCTTGGTGAGGCATGCTCAGGTAGGGTTTTGTTTTCTCCAAATAAACCTAGCAATGGTTTATGATCTGTAAAGATGGTGAACTTCCTACCAAACAGAAACTTATGAAATTTCTTAACCCCAAAAATGATGCCTAAGCCTTCCCTATCTAACTGAGAATAATTTTTCTCAGCCTGGTTCAAAGATCTACTGGCAAAAGCAATGGGTCTGTCACACTTTTCATCCATGTGGGACAAGACTGCTCCTACACCATCTGGTGAAGCATCACATGTTAATATAAGTCTTTTCCCTGGGTCATAGTGAGTTAGTAAGGTGTCAGAAGACAAAGCTTCTTTTGCTGTATTAAAAGCAGCATCTTGTTGTTTACCCCAGTGCCAAGTTGCATTTTTCTGTAGCAGCTTGTACAGTGGTGATAGTTTACCAGACAGATTCCCTATGAACTTTGCATAGTAATTTATCAAGCCCAAAAAAAGCTCTTAGTTGTTGGGTATTTTCAGGTTTGGGTGCTTCTTTGATGGCTTTTGTTTTCTCAGGTTGAGGTCTGATACCTTGCTTGCTTAATATATAACCAAGAAAACTAATTTCTGTCAGCATGAATTGACATTTATCTTTGTTTATCTTTAAACCTTTTTCACCAACTATTTTCAAGACTTTATCAAGTGTTTTAAGATGTTCAGTGTCATTCTTACCAGTTATGTACACATTGTCAAAGTAAACACAAACATTTGGAATATCCTTAAAAATACTGTCCATGACAGCCTGGAAAATTCCAGGGCTGGATGATATACCAAAACATAGTCTTTCATATTGGTAGAGTCCTTTATGTGTGTTTATTTTTGAATCTGGATGCAGTTCTAGTTGAGTGTAAGCATGACTAAAGTCTAATTCAGTGAATTTGTCTCCTCCTGCCAAATTCAAAGAAATTTCCTCAATGTTAGGAATAGGGTACCTATTTAGCTCTATTTGCTTATTCAGTGTAGCTTTATAGTCTCCACAAATTCTTACAGAACCATTCTTCTTTAACACTGGCACGATGGGCGTTGCCCAATCGGAATAGTCTACCTTCTTTATGATGCCATTAGATTCCAATCTACTTAGCTCATTTTCAATTTTATTCCACATTGCATAAGGTGGAACTCTAGCTTTGCAGTATCTTGGATTTGTGTCTTTAATGCTTATCTTCACTGTTCTATCATTTAGTAATCCTGAATTACCAAAAACACTTTCATTTTCAGATATAACTTTATCTATTGAAGTAAAACTAGATTCTCTTGCTTTGATCACTGAAAATATACTCTCCCAATTTAACTTAAGATCACTTAACCAGTTCCTACCTAGTAATGGTGGTCCATTTCCTTCAACCACAAGAAGAGGAAGTTTAACACTTTGACCATTATAACTTACATGAACCATACACTCTCCTATTACCGGAACATTGTCACCAGTGTATGTTGTTAGACACTTGTGACATGGTTGTAGAGGCACTGATCCTCCTGTGACAGCGTCAAAGTCCTTCTTTGTGATGACTGTTAGAGATGCTCCAGTGTCAAGTTGGAAGCTGATGCTCTTACCGTTGATATTAACTAGTACATTGATGGGAGCATGACTTATTGATTTCACAGAGAACAGGTTGAAATCCAGCTGCGAATCAGTTTGAGCATTTTCACAGGTAGAGTGGTTCATTGGTTGGGTTAGGTAGTCTTGGTGAGAGTTAACATAGTGCTGCCTTTGGTTGCGGTACTGTCTTGACTGGCTAGATTTAGCAACAGACGAAGACTTTGCAAAGCAGGCCTTGGCAATGTGACCTTGCTTACTGCACTTATAACAAGTAGCTGACTTGAACTTGCATCGATGAGATGCATGGGGACATTTTTGATAATTATTACTAGATTTAGATCTAGGATTTGAACGTGCAGACTGTTTAGCATATGTTGAAATGCTCTGATGGGGTTGGTGTTTGTTGACTAACCTGCTGTTTACTGCATGGATCTCTGAGGGCGTTAGAGATTTTGCCGCCTCGGATGACTGCTGTAATGAAGTTGCAAGTTGTATTGCTTTTTCTAATGTTAGATCTGACTCGAGCAGCAACTTTCTTTGAACATCAGGACTGTTTACACCTGTCACAAACTTTTCACATAGTCTGTCAGACAGCGTGTCTCGAATTCACAAAATTCACTTAAATGACGTAAAGCAGCAACATATTCTGATATTGACTCGTTTGGTTGACGAGTCCTACCGTCAAATCTAGCTCTACATAGAAACTTTGATGGTACAGGCGCATGGTGGTCTGTTAGCAATTTGCTCAGCTCGTTAAAGCTCTTGGTAGTTAGACTAGCTGGTGCGCATAAGTCCTTTAGTAGCCTAAATTGTTGAGGCTCTATGACTGTTAACAAAACAGCTCTCTTTTTGGCTTCTATCATCACGTCGTTAGCTTCAAGGTAAAAGCTTAACCTATCTAGATAATCATGAATGGTTTCATCATTCGAATCAAATTCATTTATTTGGCCATACAGCGCCATTATCCTAGAAATACTTAGCCAATATGCTCTAGCAAGCTCCTTTTTAAGTAAGCATATGCTCTTTCTAGTGGATTATTTATCCTCGTCGCCAGATGTAATAGATTGACGATAGAAGCATGTGATTGTATATAAAACGTTTATTGGCCTCAACTACATGATGGTAACGAGAGAGGGCGGAAGTCACGAGACACAAATATGTATATATACATATAAGGGACATCACTCAAGATAACAGTATAAA